GATTTAGATGACATCAAAACATTGATCAATGTCTGGGAGTCGCAAGCAAAAGATGCGATAGAGGAATTTCTGGATGATTTTTCCAGCAGAGAGATAAAATCTCCCGTTGAATCCTGGCAGGAAATCTGTACTCGACTGGAAGAGATAAAGAGCGCTTCGATGGCATCGGAATTATGGATCGCTAAGGACGATACTAATAAATCTCTTACAATCACTGGTTTGAAAGCAGCAGTTTCCATGGCAATAAATTCATACCAGAAAATCGCTAAAGAGATTGAAGAGAAGATGAAGTACGAAGCAACTATAATTACTGACCAGTGTAGCAGTGTAAAGCGAGAAAAACTACAGCTGCTGCAGGCTAGGTCTGATGCAGTGAGTATAGATGAAAACATTAAAATGGACATTGCACCAGATCAGGGCAGCGTCATGTTTCGTGGACCCTCAATGTCTGTCACAGGAAGCAAACTGAAGATTCTAGAAATGCTGGCTAACATGGTTGACAAAGGAGTTGAAATTATCAGATGATATTGTGAGATTGATGCAATCCGAAGAGAGGTTATAACTATGTGATGCAGTCTTTGAAATGCCATGTTGTGGTAACCTTTGAACAAGGGCTGGTGAAAATTACTGGGTGTAACAAACAAGATTGTGACAGCGCGTACTCCATTATAAAAGACCTAATAAGGAAGGATACAATTCAAGTTCTTGAAGAGTGGATTTACCTTCTAAGGGGCAGTGAGCTTGCCAAGTTATTAATAATCTGACAGCTGAATGTCTTGGTGGATTTGAATTTATTATGGATAAAAAGCAATTATCAGCATAGTGGGATCCGATAATGACCTTCGAAAGGCAAAGCAGGATATCTTAACCTTCCTGAAGATGAATGCCATAAAACGAGTCACTGTGCCTGTTAAACACACGAACAGAATTAGAACTCTTGTTTTCATCACATTCAGTAGGGAATTCATTAATGGCATAATGGAGGGATTACGCAATGATCATGTTAAGATCAGTCAAATTCCTGGAGGTGTATTAATTGAAGGGACAGATCATGGAGTTAAGAATGCTAAACTAAGTATATCAGCTGTCCTTAAAGCATTTGAAA